AGGTGTTTTATATAGACATTATTTTGTTTCCACTCTGCTGTAACAATTTTGGTGATAAAGAAATCAAGGTTTAGAATTTTTCCAAAGGTCACATAAGCAGTAAATAGTAGAACAAGGCTCAAAAGCCAATCAGGTTATAGCAGTAGACTGAGTCACCCTCATTGCCATTGACCTCGACTGGATCAAGGTCAGAGCCTGGGCTGTTAACTGCTGTGCCACAGAATTCCTCTTCTACACTCTGGCCAATTTTCTGAAAAGCCAGGGATTCTTTAATATATGGAATAATTGCTCCTGATTTGAATCCACGAAAATCATTTTTGGTATCTAGATTGAGGTTCAGCATCCCTCAATTATATTTGCAATATTATTTCCAAGTAAAAATGATAAGGTTTTGTTCCCTTTTTCAAATGTTACATTTCTTACATATTTTAGGGGGAAAAAAAGCTTTTTTGAGACATGTCTGCCTTACAGGATGTTAGAACTCCAAGGTGAAATACGAGTAAGAACTGCTTCTTACCTATATGCTCCGTACCTGTTCCCAATGCTTAGGACACCGCGCATGTCATGGTGTTGACCCTCAGCTACTGTTCTCGGGTGGAGGCTGGTGGAAAAGAGCTTTAAGTGAGTGCAGACTCCAGTGTAGCTACGGCTCCATCTTTCTGACCCCATTAGTCTTTAAGAATTCTGCCCTGGCCGGTTTGGCTCAGTGGATAAAATGTTGGCCTGTAGACTGAAGGGTCCCAGGTTCGATTCCGGTCAAGGGCATGTGCTGGGGTTGTGGGCTCGATCCCCAGTAGGGGGTGTGCAGGAGGCAGCCAATCCGTGATTCTCTGTCATCATTGATGTTTCCATCTCTCCCTTCCTCTCTGCAATCAATAAAAATGTATTTTAAAAAAGGCATTCATTGAAATTAGCTGACTTCTTCTTCTCCCCCGCGCCTGTGGAACCACTGCTTCCTCCTGTGCTCTGCAGGAGTGAGGCAGTGCTGTGTTCCTTCTCTCCTTGGAGGGACGTGTCCCTGGGGCACTGCACTGCACTGATTGCCTTGCAGCAGCATCCTCCGTCCCTGGTGGCTGTAGGAAGACTGACGACTCACTGATCTAGCTGGCTTCTCCGGCCGGGGCGGCAGGAGAGGCACGCTGCACTCCACATCGCAAGCAGAAGCCCGTCTGGGCCCCTCACAGAGCCCCCTGCAGAGAGCCCTTTCCCTGCGCCTTGGTGCACACTGAGGCCGGAGGGTGACGTGTCCAGTCCGTGGCAGAACTCGGGCCGGGACCCAACCGACAACTGCTCTCTACTGGCATGCAGCCACCTCCTTTTCCCTTTTTTATTTAATTTAAATTTCTGGGTTATCGCTCCCCTGTCTATGACTCTTTACTGCTCTTTTTAGCACCACTGGCTTTTCTTCCCAGGAAAGAATGAAAACAGGACGCCAAGCATCAGAGGTCTCTGATGTGAGTCCATGGCACACAAGCCTTTAGAGCAGTGGCTCTCAACCTTCCTAACGCCGCGACCCTTTAATACAGTTCCTCATGTTGTGGTGACCCCCAACCATAACATTATTTTCGTTGCTACTTTATAACTGTAATTTTGCTACTGTTACAAATCGTAATATAAATATCTGATATGCTATATGTGTTTTCCAATGGTCGCGACCCACAGGTTGAGAACCGCTGCTATAGAGATTACTGCCCGTCTGTGCATTAACAGTATAAAAAAATCATTAACAGACATTGAAAACAGTGAGTTACAGAAGAACCAGCAGGTTCCTTGGTTTAGAGAAGGATTATTTTCAGACTTAGCTTCATATGTGTGTGTTTTTTAAGCCTAGTTACAGTAACTTATTTTTTAAAAATACATTTTTATTGATTTTAGAGGGAAAGGAAGAGGTGGAAACATCGATGAGAGAGAGAAACATTGATCAGTTGCCTCCTGCACGTCCCCCCCACTGGGGATTGAGCCCACAACCCGGGCATGTGCCTTGACCAGGAATCGAACCGTGACCTCTTGGCTCATGGGCCGACGTTCACTGAGTTACACTGGCTGGGCTAACCTTATATGTTTTTACTCTCAAAGCTTGTTGGTGGTTTTCCTTTTAAACTAATAATAACTCTACTTAAGGTGCTGGGGTCACCTAAAGTAAATTCTGGATTTTACTAAAGTTTGAAGTCACCCTAAAGATTTTTCTACATTAATCACATTTTTGGTTACTCTAATAAAATTTGCTTTCTAAATTCAATATTTTCTACATTCTTAATGGGAACTAAGACTTACAAGTAGGAGGGAATTTTTAAAATCTCATAAGCACTTGTTTTTGCAAATAAAAAACTGCAGCTCGGGTTGAGTGACTTACCGAAGCTCACGTAGCTCGTGATTGGCAGAGCTGGGACTAGGACGGGTCTGGTGGCTCAGATTGGGACGAGGGGAGGCACTCAGGAGACGATCAAATTTTTTTTAAAGATACATCTTCCTAGAGAATTATCTTATTCAGATACTGCTTTTTTATAGAGTTAAAGGATATTTCTTTTTATAATGAAACACTAATATATTTGGAAGGAGAAAGGAAATCAACACTAATTCTTAAAGCAAAATACTAAATTTTGGAACACTCTGGGCTCAGGTGCATGCCTACTCTCTTCTGCTTGCTGGAGGGGCCTGGGGGGATGGCAGAAGCATTCTTCTCACCCACCTCCTGCCCAGTGTGAGCGCCTGCTAAGGTGATATGACTGTTGGGGGCTGCAACTTAGTTGTATTTCAATGAGAACATTCCTCTTTTGTGAGTTCTCTGGCTATTTTCCAAGTATGGAAACACATGTAAAGTTAGCCAGTGACCCCTAGCAGCCACCATTATCTTGCCTTCCTGCCACCAGTAATGGTGTTTTAAATAACAGACTTCCCAGGGTTCTAGTTGAGGCGTGCGGGCCACATCCAAGACCTGTCCATGGAAGGAAGAAAAAGAGCACGTCGTTTTACATTCCCCCCTCTCCCCTCCCCAAGAACGATGGGGCCATAACTGCCTGCTGATGCCCTCTCCTTCCCCCCGAATTATTGAGGCTACACATTGTCTCATCTGGTCACAGGACTTATTCTTCAGCTGTGATTTTGCATGTAATAGAAAGCTAGTTCTTGCTATAAGAAGCTCAATGCATTGGGACAGATCCAGTTCTGGCTAGAAATAGCGTGGTTACAAAGCTTTTCAGTGTATGTGCCAGTGAATTAACAACATAAAGATAACACGGGTCTATCACCAGATGATTGGATTTGAAGGCCGTTTGCACATTAACTTCAGAAAGAGGCCTGCCTGTGCGTTTCCTCCCCCGCTTCCCCACTTGGGCAGCGTCCCATTAATTTTGTTGAAGGTTTTATTTTCTGCTAAAACTACAGGAAATTTAGACAACTCTTTTGGAATCCCCCCAAAACTAATACAAACAAGATACATATGCTTCTCTTAAGGAAACTAAAAATAAATGATTTGAAACTATTTAACTGTATAAATTCCCTCTTAAAAGGGAAAAGGAAGTTTATATAATGAGGCAACCATGAGCGCTGTTGACAGGGTAAGATACTCCCACAACTGCCAACTTGTCCCTTTGACATGAAATCACTACTTAGCACAGGACTTGCTCGGTGTTCATTACCCACATGTATGAAAACCGCCAGAACCACAGAAAGCAGGACCATTTTCTCAGGGTCCTTGTCTTTACATTTGAGATTTTCTGCAGTAAAGAGTGTGTGTGTGTGTGTGTGTGTGTGTGTGTGTGTGTGTGTGTGTTGGGTTGTTTGGGTTTTCTTGTTTGGGTTGTTTGGGATTTCTTGTTGTTCTTATTGTTTTTCTTTTTGACAACAAAGTCTGTTTGACCTGGGATCCATTCCTGGAATGGAAGCTGTGTATTCTAAAAATACGGTACCATGAATGAGAAAGTGCAATATTCTGCACATATGTTGCTCTTCCACCAGTTAGCCATGACATTTGCTTTCTGACAAAGCTAGCTTTAACAGTACAGAGGAAACAATTAGTTTTTAAAAAACGTGTCTTTTTATAAAATTTCATTATTCCATAAATGTAAGTCAGTTTTCCTATACACTGTCCTCTGGAGGACCTAATTTTTTAAAGGACCAGTTTTGTAAATTAATAGAAATGGAATTTGGAGGCTTATATTTAAGACTAAGAAATGTGATTTCTAAGTTATTTGCAGTTATAATAATTGAATTAATTTATTAACTTTCTAAAGGCATTTTTATCTTTTTGTTCTTTTTTTGTAATATGTCCAAAATTAAAATTACTTTTATCCTTTAAAATATACTTTAATGTATCTGTTTTTATATTTAAAAAGCTCTCACATGGTACTTACCGTGGGTTACACACTGTTTTAAGGGCTTTACAAATGCTGCCTCACTTAATCTTTATGGAAAATAATCCAATAGCAACCTTCTTTAAATACCACCTGAGGCCTAGTGAGCTTGGCCCAGTGGATAGAGCATTGACCAGCCGTGGGCAAACTACGGCCCACGGGCCAGATCCGGCCCGTTTGAAATGAATAAAACTAAAAAAAAAAAAAAAAAAAAAGACCGTACCCTTTTATGTAATGATGTTTACTTTGAATTTATATTAGTTCACACAAACACTCCATCCATGCTTTTGTTCCGGCCCTCCGGTCCAGTTTAAGAACCCATTGTGGCCCTCGAGTCAAAAAGTTTGCCCACCCCTGGCATTGACCCACAGACTGAAGGGTCTCAGCTTCGATTCTGGTCAAGGGCATGTTACCTCGGTTGCAGGCTCGATCCCTGTGTGCGGGAGTCAACCACAGGTGCCAAGGGGGAGGCAGCACACTGGCACCAGGTTCCCTGCTAGAAACTGGGAACTGGGATAGAGCTTTTATTGAAAAGAACCTGACAGAAGTATTCATAATGGCTCTTAAGTTTTATGGCTCTCATTCCAATTAAGTCTGTGTCAAGGAGTAAAACACTGACCCTGTGTGGGCATTTTCTTTCTTTATCAGGCACAAGACCTAAATGTCATCGAGGAAGTGATTCGAATGATGTTAGAGATCATCAATTCCTGCCTGGCAACTTCTCTTCACCACAACCCAAACCTGGTGTATGCACTGCTTTACAAACGAGATCTCTTTGAGCAATTCCGAACTCATCCTTCATTTCAGGATATAATGCAAAATATTGATCTGGTAAGTGTAATGGAGGTATTTATCATGGTTCTTTTTTAAGTATTAAAGTAGAGGAGTTTAATAAACCTTGATAAAAACTATAATAGAATCTCCTTAACATTAACTATATTTGCCCTCTATTCTGCTGTAACAATTGTTGCGTTCTGTGTGTGTATATCTTATATGCACAGACATATGTATACACACATATATATGTTTTACTTAACATATGCACAGACATATACACACACACACATATATATTACTTAACATTTACATCATTAACATTTTTATGTAATATCAATTCTTTGAAAAATCTCACATCTTAATATATATATTATGGATATCCTAAAATATATTTAACCATTATCCCAGATAAGAAAACTTAGATGCTGAGAGAGGATTTCCAAGTGATTTTAACACAAATCCAAGCCTAAGAATCATTGTCTTAGATACTGATTACATATTTGCTTGTGAGTTATTTACATATACACAATCTCATCTGAATCTTCAACCACCCCATTGAAGCAAAGCAGCCCATGAAAGGAAAAAGGTTGGCTCGAGGTCACTTAGCTAGTAAGTCACTCGGACAGACCTTAAATCCAGGTCTTCTCATTATAAACTCTGCTTTCAACGTTCTCTTGGATAAACCTAAGTAAGATTCCAAATGAGCAAGCTTTCCAACAACTTTTTGTTGAATATTGGCATCCAAAATAGTGCTGGGCACACTATTCTGAAATTTATTCAGAAACATTTTAAACTCTTTTTACATGTTTTGAAAAAAATGCCATGGTAGAGATATAAATAACATCTCCTTTTTGCTCCTTTCAGCACTTTACCTTCCCTCCCCTAAATGCCCCTGAAATTTTGGCTTAAGCAAGTCTTTACTATTTCTTTTTTCATAAAGTTAACCTTGGAAAGTATTGGGAAAGGACACTATGAATCCACTGTTATTTTTAGCTGACAGGGACTTGAGAGTTGATATTTTTCATTAAGACATTCAGCAATGTTGAATATCTGAGACAGGAGTGACTAACCTTGGAGCACTTTTAACTTCTGCAGAAGGAGTTAGACAAGTGTTTTTCAAGTGGCCAAATTCCTATTAGCCGGTGGTACGCATGCCTCCCATCGAGCTCATAAGATGAAGTGATCTGGCTGAATAGGCAGCAGGACAAAATAGGGTTACCACACCCAACGAGAGAAGAAATGTCATGGCTTCGTATAAGTAGAGAACGGAGGCCGTGAACAGTAATGGATGTGTAGGATGGTAAAGGCAAGAACTGTTTTTATCTCTGCTCAGTGTAAAATTCGTGCTAGATTTTGTGTATTTCCAGATCCTGCTGTCCTTACTGAACTCCACACTAGTCCATTCAGTTGCCAGTGTGGCAGTCCTGCAAATGGCAAGCAAGGTTAAACCAAGTGTGATGTTCTCGAATAACAAGGGATCCACAATGTCCTGATTTGTTATCACTGTGATGCTGAATGATTTGCTAAGATATAATATTCTTTTAGTGTTTTGTGACAAATATTACGGGACAGGATTATGTCCAGAATGTCGCTGCTTAGTTCTGGCTGTGCTGTGACATGCGCAAAAGTAATTATAGCTTGCTGTTGATTATCCCTGGTGATCAGGATATGAATGTCATGGGAAAATTAAATGTATAAATACTGTCCAAAACACCATTTTAGCCATTAGCTTCACATTTCTTTCTTATTTCGCTTTTATATTTTTTTAGAGTTACTATGAAGCCTCAGTATTAACAGGTTTTAAGGTTTAGCTTTCTTTCTCCACCTTCTCATAGGTGCTGCTCTCCAGATGAAATACAAATGCAAGGTGAGGCAGCACAAGAAAGAGCAGATTCAGGAGCCTACTTAATTCACAGAATGGACAATGAGCCCTGAACATTCAGGGGCTGACTGTGACTCAGACATCAAACTCTATAGAGAGGATGCATTTAGGAGGGCTCGTGAGTTAAAAGCCAGGTCGTATAGTTAGGATAGCTTGACGACCATATGAGAAAGGCACTGTATGAAAAGACCATATGAAAATACGTCTCCTACATCTACTTGTTTAAAAAATTCCATTCTACATTCCAGGTGATCACCTTCTTCAGCTCCAGGTTGCTACAGGCTGGAGCTGAGCTCTCGGTGGAACGGGTCCTGGAAATCATCAAGCAAGGAATTGTTGCTCTGCCCAAAGACAGGCTGAAGGTAGGACTGGTAAATGAAACACACACCACTCTCTCCCTTAGGGTCTGAGCAGACTCTACTCAGAATCAGGTCACTTACCCAGTACTTGCACTAGAAAAGGCTCCCTGAATATCACCGCTCTACTGTATACTGATACACAGACTGTGATGAAGAAGGGTTCTCACAGTTTCCCAAAGTAGCAAAAGAAGGACTGATATCTTCATCCCATTTCAGATAGTGTGAGTAATTTACATAAAGGAGCACTTATTTTTTTAACCCAGTGAAATAAATTCATCCTTCTAAGTATCATCAAGGGTTGATGGGAAGGTGAGGTGGTGATGTGACATTTGCAACAATGGCTAAGACTTGCCTGGTGGTTACTCAATACGGGGTGGGGTCCTAAGTGTCTGACACAGATTAACTTATTCGGTCCTCACAACACCCCTTCAAGGTAGTGGGGGTCGGTACCATTATCATCCTCATTTTTCAGCTGAGCAAACTAATGCACTGAGAAGGTAAGTAATTTACCCATCATAAAACTAGAAAATTATGGAACTGATTCATCTCCAGGTAGTCTGGTGCCACAGTCCATGCTCATAATCACCGCCTGTTTGCTGTATGCTTGGGTTTATCTGTGGAAAGAGGAGCTTTTTATGAAAGACGTGGGGAACATTGTATTTTAAGATGACATCTACATTGTGTGTTAGCTATGTTTCTGAAGAGATTCATGATGTAAATGCATACTTCAAGACTAATTTTCCCATATGAAAAAGGTAAAGGGCATGGTCTGGGGGGATGCATGAATGTACGGCATCGTACCATATTTTTCCTTTACCGTATTTTAACTTTTTCCTACATTACCTTTGAAGTGTTTTAAGTACTCGGTCTTAAGTTAACAGCACAGTGCATCATAGTGGACGTTTGGCCTCTCTGTAGTGTTTTATCACAACTAGCTCTTCCAAAGTCACCATCTGGGGCTGAGTTTTCAGCACCATCCCTAAACCACTGCTTAATGAGGGCTTGAGAGAGATTGTTATAGGATGTGAAAATGTTTCCAGTTACAATAACAGAGTGTGTGAAACAAGAGCACGTTAGTCGCATAGCCACTCACAGGAGCTCCACTGGACGGGAACAGTAGCACGGCGCATGCAGTGCTGAGCAATGACAGGTATTTCTGTTTATCAGCAAAAATGGCACCACCATGTGGCAATAGCCTAATAGCTGATTACAGCTTCGACTTTACTCTTGACATTCTCTTTTTTAAAATTATTATTATTGTTTAAAGTATTACATGTCTCCTTTTCCCTGATTGACACCCCCTCCCCGCCAATCCTGCCCCCCAGGACAAGCCCCCACCGCCCCAGTGTCTGTGTCCATTGGTTATGCTAATATGCATGCATATAAGCCCTTTGGTTGATCTCTTACTCCCTTCCCTGCCTTCTCTCAGTGTTTCTTAGTCTCTGGATCTATTTTTGTCCATCAGTTTATGTTCATTATATCTCACATATGAGTGAGATCAGGTGATATTTATCTTTCTCCGACTGGCTTATTTTGCTTAGCATAATGCTTTCCAGTTCCATCCATGCTGTCGCAAATGGTAAGAGTTCCTTCTCTTTTATAGCAGCATAGAATTCCATTGTGTAGATGAACCACAGTTTTTTAATCCACTCATCTGCTGATGGGCACTTAGGCTGTTTCTAAATCTTAGCTATGATAAATTGTGCTGCTATGAGCATAGGGGTGCATATGTCCTTTCTGATTGGTGTTTCTGGTTTCTTGGGATATAGTCCCAGAAGTGGGATTACTGGGTCGAACGGGAGTTCCATTTTTAATTTTTTGAGAAAAAGCCATGCTGTTCTCCACAGTGGCTGCACCAGTCTGCATTCCACCAGCAGTGCACAAGGGTTCCTTTTTCTCCACATCCTCGCCAGCACTTTTGACTTGTTGATTTGTTGATGATAGCCATTCGGACAGGTGTGAGATGGTACGTGGCATTCTTTAAATATAGGGAATTCATACTTTCATTCTTACATTAAGTTTTTATTGGGGAGGGAGGTTGCAGTATTTCAGATATGCTTAACTCTAGACCATATGAAGCAGTACAAAAATCCATGAAGATTGGAGTGGCTGCTCATAGAAGTGATGGGTCTTGGTGTCCAAACGAAGTCAAGAAGTAGAACTGTCATGAGGCTGTAAGAAGGGATCACGCAGAGGAGCCCGGGAAAGAGGGATTTTAATGAGCTCAGAGAACCAGCACAGTGGAAGTAATGGAGATCGTGATTCAAGGACGGTGCATTTAGACGGAAGATGTTGAAAGTGGAGCAGATCGTGGTGATCACATGGTCTGGGTTTGGCCGTGAGTGGGGGCACTGAAGTGCTATGGATGTGAGTGAAAGTCAGTGTGGCTGAGCCAGTTAGTGAGCTGGAAGCCAAGGATGGGTCATTCCCATGGGCGTCATAGTCTCTTAGGATGATAAGCCATGCAGTGGAGGAAGATGGGGAGCCAAATGCTTCAGTCAATGGGAGAGCAGCCTGGAAATCAGTAGGTGGCAGCTACACGGAGAGAAGAAGCCGGTACCAGCCTCATATGGGCAGAGCTTTTTGCTTAACTGTAGGGGATTAGAGGATCGATAGCCAAGAACAAAGAATGAGCAGCCTCTATTTCCAAAGCATCCAGGGGATTCAGAGTCCTAAGGGCAGAGCCAGATTTCCGTTCCCGAAGGAAGGAAGGAAGATTCGGCGTGGGGACTGAGAAAGGAAGGATACTTACCCATGAAGTAGGGGTCCGAAAAGGCTTTGTGGGACATGGGAAGAGGTGAGGAACAGGAGTTTGGATGAGGGGAGAGAAAGCACAAAGCAGTATGGGGAGAAGCCCTGGGCGGGGGCCCTTTTGGAGCATCATCCCATCGACAAAAAGTTGCGGATTCCATTCCCAGTCAGGGCACACACCTAAGTTCAGTCCCTGGTTGGGGCAGCACATATGGGAGGCAGCCGATGAATGTTTCTCTCCTTCTCTCTCTCTCTCAAAATTCAATTAAAAAAAAAACATATCTGTGGGTGAGGATTTTTTTTTTTTTTTAAGTACAGGCTGACTGGAGGTAGGGGCCTAGGTATGAACCATGGACCAGTGCTGATGAGGACATGATGTACATGTTCTGTGTGAGCTTGCACAGTACATTCTCAGCAAGCATCGGCTCTGTGATGTCCATTGCTCTCAGTGCCTGGGTCTATTGGTGACCAAAGATTGCTGCCCCACGGGGCTCACTGTCTAGCAGGAGAAGACAGACAATGAACAGTGAGCATATGTAATGACAAAAAGATCAATTGTACTAGAACTTCACAAGTGCTCTGGAAAATAAAAGAGCTGGGGAAAGGGGTTTGGGAGTATTGGTGAGGGTGCAGTGGAAGAAAGTTGTAGAATTACAAAGAATGGTCTGGGCAACATTTAGCAAAGATAAAAAGGAGGTGAGAGAGTTAAACATGCTGACTCATACTGAGTCCCAAGCAGTAAGAACAGCCATTGTAAAGGTCCTAAGCCAGGAGAATGCCAGGCATGTTGAAGAAGTAACAAGGAGACCAAAGTGGCTAGAGCTGTATGAATGAGCGGAGGAGTAGGAGGTGAGCAAATAATGGGGGAAAGGAGGTGCAGTGAAATGGGGACCTGGTGCAAGGTTTTGAGAAGAGAAGTGGCATGATGTGGTTTATGTTTTAATAGTATTGCTCTGACTGCTATGTTGAGCCTAGACATAGGGAGACCAGTTAGAAGTTTATTGCTTGACTTGGATCATAGCAGTAAGATTGAAGTGCCAATAGAATTAGTCCAAGAAATCGTCTGAATTGACTGGTAGGCAGAGGAGGGCACGTAGGCCTTCTATGAGACAGCGACACTGTCTTCATTGATTACAAAAGTTCCAGGGAGTCCTGGCCAGGGTGGCTTAGTTGGTTGACCAAGAGAGGTTGCTGGTTTGATTCCTGGTCAGGACACATGGCCAGATTGCAGGCTTAATCCCCAGTAGGGGGAATGCAGGAGGCAACCAATTGAGGTTTCTCTCAAAAATCAATAGAAACATTAAAAAAAAAATTAAAAGCTCCAGGGAATGGTAGCTAGAACATGGTTCTGGCAGACTGGTTAAAGAATTGGTCTGCAAGTGTTGGAAGAGTTGTTTTTGGAAGTGGATTTGTACTTGATCTGTGTGGGTCTCAAAGACAACTTTCAGATATTGGTTGGCCCAGTCTGTCATGATTAGAAGCCTGACTCTGCTTTGCTAAATAGTGTGCAGCTCAACAAACTTTGTGTAGACATGCTACTAATGTAGAAGCTGTCCGTACTAGGCAATTCAGAGCAAACTTTCAGATGCCACACCTTGAGACAGTCTGGAAGCCTCTCAGAGAATCACCAGAATTGTGAAGGAACACGGGAAGGGATTAGAGGAACTCATATTGTTGGTATTAGCTTTAAGAAGACAAGACTCAAGCAGAAGAGGCTTGTGTTCAAGTACTGGAAGAGTTGTTTATGAAAGCAGATTTGGACTTGTTCCTTGTGGTCTCAGGAATAGGACCAGTGGGTAGAAGCTACATACAGGGACTTGCATTTCAGTTCCATATAAGGAAGAACTTTCTAGCAGATGGGATTATTTAGAGATGGAAGGGGCAACTTTTGGGAAGTGATGTATTCATTCTCACTGCATGTTAGGGGAATAGGCTAATGGCCACTTGGCAGGATGCTCTTAACTGTTGGTACTAGCTGGCTAGAGTGGTGAATGGAGTAAGATTCCAGGGCTGAGTTCAGGTGCAGCAGAAAGAGTGCTGAGGTACATTAACAATGCCTGCCATTGGCCACAAGAGCAAAAAGTAAGGAGCATGTGTGTGATTACTTATTCCATTGTAAAGACTCAAATATTGGTTGGGAAATCCAACTATGTGACTTTTAAGAACCTTTCCATTTCCATGAGTGTAATTCTGTTTGTGCATATACAAAATTATTGTTCTCCACAAAGCACAAAACTACATAAATTTTCATA